TTTTTTTTTTTTTTTTTTTTGTACCAGGGATTGAACTCAGGACCTTACATTTGTGAGGCATGTATGTCCTGGGTAAACCAGAAGTGCCTTGATGTGGGTTTTATCTCAGCCTCAGAGCTGGGAGCCCATTCCTGGTGAGCAGAGACTCAGAGGCTCCAGGAGTTGGTGTGGAGTGAGAAACAGATCAGTCAGCAGGTGGTGGCTATGGTCCTCAAACGCAAGCTCCTGTTGTAGTGAGTGTCCTTACCAACAGAGAGACTGGGCCAGGAGGAAGGGGCTCTTCTCCATATGCCAGGTGTTGATGTGGCTGAGCAGGGCACAGCTGAGCCCCATTAAGGGGAAACTGCGACTAGCCTGCTTCTTTGTGGCCCTAGCTCTCCCTGTGCTCTTTCTGCAGCCAGCCATACATCATGTGCAGACAGTGTCCCGAGTACAGAAGACAAGTGGTGCAGCCCCTTTCCTGTCCAGCACCAGACAGCATACCAGGGGCCCCACAGGCCCTTGGGTGGGATACACCTTCCACTTCTACTAGCTTCACCACGGGTAAGAGGCAGCAGCTCACCATAGGCTTGTTCTTTGTGTTGCGTCTTTGCCAGGGCTCAGATTGTTCCAGTTTCCTGCACTGCATGTTGCCTTTGCACTCTGTCCCCCACTTCCTTTGCTTCCCTGGCCCCACTGCCTATGGTAGCCTGTTGCTACAATCAGTGTTGGTAAGAAATCAGATAAATAATCATTTATGGGTCCTCCCTGCTGGGCATGTCTGAGAACTAACTGTCCTGATTTGAACAAAAACTTACCCCTGTCTACTGCTGTGGAGCAACTGATGTCCCCCAGTGGAGCTTGCCAAAACCAAAATGCTAATTGCATATCTGTCCCTTATATAAAAGACTGGCTGTACTTACCAGTGGCTGCTAAGATGCCAGAACCTATCACAGTCTCCATTAATTACCTGGTTTCTGGCCAGTGGGTCTCCGGATGCTACCAAGAAAAGCAAGGGAAGGCTTGGGCCTGGCTAAGCTATAGAGCACATGCTGTGCAAAGCCTTGGGTTTTATCCCCAGCACCAAAAGAAAAAAAAAAAAAGAAAGCTCGTCAGGGGTATGTGGCATTATAGCTCTTGGCCTTGTCCTTTCTGCCATTCTGTGGTCCTTGCAGAATGGAAAAACCCAATGGGCCCTGGCCTCTTGGCCATGGTTGGTCAGGAAGCCACCTCAGGATTTTGCCTCCAAGCTACCTTCTTGACCACCCCACTGGGACACTGCTACAGTTTTCCAGGTGTCCTCTAGAATCTGTGGGTGGGATAAGCCAAGGCAGTGCTTGGCCATAGGCATTAGAGCTCAGGCATGGCAGGGGTTTGACTGCCATTCAGAAACTCCTTACTCTACGTGATGGGGACCCATCAACATCTCCTTTTGGGGCATGAGATGACTAATTGGGAATGCATGTCATGCATAGAGAGAGCCTGAGTCCCCAGAGGTGCTCAGTGACCCTTACAGTGTATTGTGGTGATTGGCATGGTCACCTCCCTGTGTGTCTTGTGTGGATAGTGGATGTCCAGGGAACTTGTTACATGGATGTTCCCTATGCCAGATCAGTCTTTCCCACCATTCCCTATGCCAGATCAGTGTTTCCCACCATTCCTGTCCTTTGTTTATTGAAAGGATTTAGTTATTCTTTTGCCTCAGTAGAAATGAATGTACAACTCATTTTATTGTTTTATAGTATGTACTCTATGGGCCTGTCCTTCCTTTGTAGGAAAGAGTAGAAAATCTTAGAAATCTTGTCACAAGCAAGATTCTTTTTACTCTTTACTGGTTCTTTTTACTTTTTTGCAGTCCTAAGGGACTAAGCCCATGCATGCTAGGCAAGTACTGTACCACTGAGCTCCATCTCTAGCCCTCAGTTTTTGATTACTTTCCATCTTGTGAACTCTTTGTTTGAATGGCAGAATCTAATTTGCCTGTTTAGGAACCAGTCTGGATCCTCTCTGGTCTTCTTGGGGCCTGGCTCTCCATATCTGTACAAACTGCCTCCCTACATGTAAATCTTTTATCTGCTGTCTTTCCATCTGGCTTTGTACCACTCTGGCCTTAATATGGGTATCTTCAGCAGCCCAGGACTACGTGTGCCCTGTGCAAGGAAGCCATGCCATATGCACCTGCTGCTTCCAGCCCATGCCTGACCGGAGAGCTGAGCGTGAGCAAGATCCTCATGTCCCACCCCAGCAGTGTAAGTCTGATGATGCTGTGTCCTCCAGGGATTGGTGTCAGATGGCTTTCCACTTTTGTGTGCTATGCAGCAAAGACACATTGCTTTCTTTGGTCTGAGTAATCAGTTGGTCCCACATGACAAGTTGAGCTGTTGGTCTTTTCCACCAATGATAATGGTGCCCTATATGGAACCATCATCTGTGGGTGTTGGTGGGTCTCACTGTGGGATCTGAATCCATACCTATCTGCACATCAGTCCTCAACTGTGAATGGCATGTCCCTCATAAATCTAGTAGAGTAGACAGGATGTCTTTAATCTATAGTTCTTAACATTGAAACAGAGCTCTTTCCACAGGTACAGTTTGTCTGCAACCCTTCTGCCACCTGTACTGGGGTTGTACCCGGACCGGCTGCTCCGGCTGCCTCGCCCCATTCTGTGGTAATTCTGGCTTTGCTTCTCCAAGTTGCTTTGACCTTTGTATGTTCTCTTGTGAACTTAAGGGCAGGGCAGGTAATGGTGGTATCTGTGACCTGCTGTGCGCAATGAGAAGGCCACTCTTACTCACCCTGTAATTACAAGTCTTTTCCTGTTGGATTGTAGAGGTTTTCCATTGGAGCATCAAGTTCATCTTAGCTCACAGTCAAGCAAAAATAGAGCAATTAGGGGATTTAGCTCAGTGGTTTGGTGGCCAGCCTCGCAAGCGCAAGGACCAGAGTTTGATCCCTGTTACAAAAAAAAAAGAACAATTAGAGGAAATGCTAGGTTCCAGTATAAGAAAGTTTACTTATGCACTTAAAAACACAGCTGCAAGTACAGTCTCACTGTGGGATTCAGATTTTTGACACCAGACTAGGTACCAATGATACCTGGCAATCTTAGGATTTTTAAGGAGAATGAGAGATGAAATCATTTTTACTAGTTCTCTCTTTTTGGTTTTTTTGAGACAGGGCCTCATGATGTAGTTGAGACTGACCTGGAACTCACTATGCACAGGTTGGTCTGGAACTCACCGCGATCCTCCTGCCTCAGCCTCCCGAGTGCTGGGATTACAGGCGTGTGCCACCACGCCCGGCAATAGTTCTCTATTTTAAGTTGTGTTTTATTGTGGAACTTTTTATTCTCTCCACAATTTATAATGGAAAAAAGTTTGGTTATCCTGTCTGGCAAACAATATTTTGGTACAATACAATATCATCATTGCAAAACATAACATTGCTTCCTTCCTCTGGCAGAGCTCAATCTGGGGGACAAGTGTCTGGATGGAGTGCTGAATAACAACAACTATGAGTCAGACATCCTAAAGGTATCACTCCAGACTCACCTGGGTGAGGTGGTAACCAGGTGGCATCAAAGAACTTGTGATAGAACTCTGTTCCTTTGCGCATAGTGCACTCAGTCCTCTGCATTTCACTAGTACAGTGATGTGATCCTTTCAGAGCTCTTAATGATACAAACAGCCTGCAGCAGCATGTGTGCCATAGGTCCACCACAACTACACTATTATATCTCTGTTTTTTTCCCCATATTCCAAAAATAGGTATTTCTATCATGTCATGAATCCATAGAAATTAGTTCCTGCAGCTCACAGTGAGTGTTCTTTGAAGAGCTGAGCCTTCTCTCTTTTTCTTTTTTTGACCATTTTCCTTCACATATTTGAGGATGCTCAATTAAGGGCTTAGTCTTTAGAATCTTAATATGCTTAACATGCACCTCAGCCTCTGGCTGAGAGCCTTGCCTCCCTCTTTCATGTTCATGTCCAGAGCTGCTGACAGCCCATGGCAGTGGGGGCCCTTGGGTGCTGTGGACGTAGCAACAGGCACGCCCTGCTCAGCAGGCACCACACCTGCTTTTGTTCCACCAAGCACAGTTTTGTAGGTTTGCACAGAAGGAGCTCATAGCCCCGTGTTTGTAAAGGGCTGGGAGAGCAGATGCCAGGCCCTCAGCCTTTCTTGTCTTGGAACTTTGAGGCTCCAATAAGGCCTGGCTTCTCCCTTGCTCCTGTGCTATGAATGCTCTTGCAGGACTTTTGAGAGAAGATGGCACAGGGTCAAAGGTCAATCCATCTCCTAGAGACTTAGAAGCAAGGAGCTTGGGAGCCAGGTGTGATGTGCTGACCCCAGAGCTCAGCACTGGCCTTTTGCAGATGCTGCCTGTGACTGACTCTGCTCTGCTTTTAGCCACCCTCCAGGACCTTTCCTGAAATTCTTCCCCCTCTTGTCATTTTAGTGTTTCTCCCTCTTGTCTGATATTTTCTCTTAGTTCCCTTTTTTATCCCATCACAGAATTACCTGACAACCAGGAGTCTGACGTGGAAAAACATGTTGACAGAAAGTCTCATGGCTCTGCAGCGGGGAGTGTTTTTACTGTCTGGTAAGTTGCCTTCACCTGCCTCGCTCTCTCTAGAGCAGACATGAATTTCCAAGGCAACCTTTGTCTCGCACAACCCTAGCAGGCCATGTCTGGATAGTGTTACCTGTCTGCTTTCCTGCATTTGTGACTCTGACCTCTACCCACCCAGCAGAGAGAGAAAGGTCTTGATACTTTGAATTTAACATATATAATATATTCTAGCACTTTCTATATAGGGAGGGTGGAGGTTCAGCTTTTGTAGGTTCCACTCTTCTCCACACTAGGGTCCTGGGCTGGTTATTCCTAGGCCCTCGTTTGTTGTTGCTGGGTGTGTTCACATAGTACAGGTTGCTCCCTCTCCCAGAGGAGCACAGGTGCCTTGGCTGTGGTCTTTGCCACTCAACCAGTCTGTAGAAATACTGACAAGGAGTTCCCTCCTAAGACAAATAGTACGGTAAAAAGACTCAAGAGCTCTGCCTAGGCCAGGCACAGTGGCTCACACCTGCAGTTCCAGCACTCAGGAGGCTGAGGCAGGAAGATCACAAGTTCAAGTCCATCCTACACTTCATTGTGAGTTCAAGACCAGCCTGGACTACACACTGAGATCCTGTCTCAAACTACCCTGCCACCACCAAAAAAAAAGAGTTCTGCTTAAAACCCCTTGAGTTATTTTTGTCTTATGGACACATTCCAGTGAGCATCTCACCTGTGGCTGCCACCTCTATCAGATGCTTTAAACCACTTTTAAATGGTTTCTTATTTGTGTGAAAATGATAATGGCTTACAAAGAATATGACTGATCTAGGATGTATAAAGGTTAAAGTAAAAGCCATTGTAAATCCTGCCACTCAAAACATATGCAAGTGGACTGGGGAAAGCCAGTGGTGGAGCACTTGCCTGGCACGTGTAAGGCCTTGGGTTGGATCCCCAGCAGTGAAAAACAAAAAGACACACTGACACACTAAGGAACATTGTCTTTGCAGCTGCCTTTCCAGTCCCTTCAAAGCACGTGTGGCTATTTGTGGCTAACTTCACCGATCCCACTTTACTATAATGTGTTCTTTGTACCTAATTTTCACTAAGCAATGTGTCATGTACCTGTTTCTGCCAAGAAAGGTCTATACAACTTGATTTCTGGGCCTTTTTTTTTTTTTTTTTTTTGCACCAGTTTTCAAACCCAGGGCCTTGTACATGTTAAAGAGGTGGGTTATCACTGAGCTACTTTGATTCTTTATTACTATGTAATATTCTAATTCATTAATAAAGGATATATAAATTATTTCCATTTTCCACTATTTTAAATGATGATACCATAATTGTTGTGCATATGATATTATACACTTTAGAAATTGTCAATTTAAGCCAGTTACAGTGGCATACACCTATGATTCCAGTACTCTGGGAGGCTGAGCAGGAGGATCCCAAGTTGGAGCCCCACCTGACCCTGACAATTTATCCAGACCCTGTCTCAAAATAAAAAATAGCTGGGAATTTAGCTCAGTATTTCCGCCGCCTGCCTTGCAAACGCATGGACCCGAGTTCAATCTCCGGTACCCCAAAAAATAAATAAATAAAAATAAAAAATAAAAAGGCTAAGGATGTAGCTCAGTGTAAAGGCCTTGATCAATCCCCAGTACCAATATATAAATACATATAAATACATACATATTTGACCAACCAACCAACCCTTTATCCTACCTGGAAGATACAAGGTATATATGAAACATAAGTGAATTTCCTATGTAGTGTTGGGTTCTATCCTTAAAGTATCTCATTATGTAGATTTTTTTAAAAAATCTGAAACACTTCTGATCCCAAGCATTTCAGATATGGAATATTCAGCCTGTACTTGCAAGTAGTTGAGAAAATAATATTCATTCCAGTTTTCTCCTTAGTACTTTTTGGAATTTTTGTTTGTTTTTTGTTTTGGGGGGTTTTATTGTACCAAGGATCCAAATCAAGACCTTGCACTTGCAAGACAGGTGAGGTGTCACTGAGCTAAATAACCGGCACTGTTTGTTTTGTTTTTTGAGACAGGGTCCTGCTCTGTAGATCAGACTAGGCTTGAACTCACTTTGTATCCCAGGCTGGCCTCAAACTGGCAGCAATCCTCCTGCCTCAGCCTCCTGAGTGCTGGGATTACAAGCATGGACAACCACGTCCAGCTCTTTTTGGATTTAATATTTAAATTTTCCTATATATATGGAGTTATTCTGCTGTATGAAAGTGAATTGCTTTCTAGATGCTTTGGCTGTTGTTTTCCAAATGTCAGGCCTATTGTTTCTATCTCATGTATGGATCGATGTGTTAGTTCCCATTGGTTTAAGTGCAGTGTCTATTCAGCTGTCTAGAAAATGACACTATGAAAAAAAAAAGAAAAGAAAATGACACTATGCAGTCCCTGGCCATGCCCACGAGGCGTGTTCTCTGCAGATTACAGGGTCACTGGGAACACAGTGCTGTGCTATTGCTGTGGTCTGCGCAGCTTCCGAGAGCTGACCTATCAGTACCGGCAGAACATTCCTGCTTCTGAATTGCCAGGTGAGGAGATCCACAAGCTCCAGTTCCATCTGCATTGGCTTTTCTACTTTTCTCTTGTTTTTTCTTTCCATGCTAGGGACGGAACCCAGGGCTTCCCTTGGCAAGCACTCTACTCTGAACTACATCTCCAGCCCTCTACCCATCTTTTAGCAGATGGTCAGTATTGGCCTTTGTGCTGTGTCCTTAACAGAAGTCTGCACCAGCCAGGGAAAAGACAGGCACATAGGGTGCTGGAGCCCACATTTGCCTCAGGGACTGTCTGTGACCCTACCAGTCATGGCAGGTGGAGTTCCAAAGCAGAGATCTGTGAAGGCATCATAGACTGAAGGAATACTATCATCTCCTAAATTTGGTTTTTAATTAACATCTTTTGTCCTTTCCTGAAATCCTGGCAGTCTAAGGAAACTAGTTCCAAAGAGAGACAAAGCACTTTACATTCATGGTTCTTTGTTCACACCCTTCACTTATTCAGCTAATTGGGTGAGTGTATGTGACATCGCTAATGTAGATCTGCACTCTCTTCTCTTCCAGTGGCTGTGACATCCCGTCCTGACTGCTACTGGGGCCGCAACTGCCGCACTCAAGTGAAGGCCCACCATGCGATGTGAGTGAGGCTGGGACTCAGGAAAGCAATGGCAGGAGTTACCTGTCTGCTGAAAAACAGATTTGTGGCTGGGGATGGAGTTCAGTGGCAGAGTGTGTGATTAGCATGTGCATGGCCCTGGGATCCATATGAAGGACCACCAAAAATTTTTATACATATACACACATAAATATACCTATATAGATACATGTCAATATGCTTGGTCATTATGTACCTGTAAAGTCAAAATAGCTGCTCCTCTTTTATTACCTCATTTCCTAAAATGTTTGTATGTACATTCTCACCTCTTGTCTTCCACTTCTGTATCTTCATGGCTAAAATCACTTTACCCCTGTCAGACAGTTCCTGGAGCTCACCCAACTGTTGAGCCTTAGCACTTCCTAAGTCAGTGGCTGTGGCCGCTAGAATGCCCATTCCAACATATAGTCCCACTGGCATAACTCTGGAACAGCTGGATTTTTCTTCCATTATTGTGAGTGGGTGTTTGCAGTCACTGTAACTTGGTCACCCCACCTGTGGCCTCTTCATTGTGGTCTTTAAATTTAAAGAATGTTCACAGTAACACCCACATTGCACTGGTAGACCAGAGCTGAGGAGTAGTCTCTCTACCCTCTTTTTTTTTTTTTTTTTTTTTTTCTTGGGATTTTTTTTTTTTTTGTACTGGGGATCGAACTTGGACCTTTGACTTACAAGGCAGGTGGCAGCACCACTGAGTTAAATCCCCAGCCCCTCTACCCTTATTTTTAAACAGTTGAGATGATGACTGTCAGTTCCTTGGCCGATATATAGTCCCTAAGCAGGCATTTTTTTGTTCAAATTAAAGTAGTTGAGCCAGTGTTCTCTGTATGAGTGACATGAAGACTCAGGTCAAGGTGACACCTTCCAAGAAATGACTTTGTGGGATAAAAACCTTGCATCAAACTAGGTGCAATGGTGCACACCTGTAATCCCAGCCTTTGGGATGCTGAGGCAGGAGGGCTTGCTGAGTTGAAGGCCAGCCTAGACTACACAATGAGACCCTATCTCAAAAAAACAAAAAACTTTGCACTACCTTTGAGTATAATCAGCATGTGAAAGAGACTTATTTTCAGAGAAGGGATTTCACTACTAACTAACCTTCTTTAATAAAAATAGAATGTGAATACAAAGTCACAACCCATCTTCCTCGGTCAATGGCCTTGACCTTGCCCATGCTTAGTGAGGGGTGGGGGGTAGCCACTGTCATCTCCCTCATGTCACTTACCAGGTGACATGTAGGGCCTCAGACAAACTCTGAGGAGGTACATCTCTAAGAAAATTACCTAGGCGTTTAAAAAATATATATAAAACACCTTGGTGTTTTTGCTTCTATTTTAAAATTTAAGATGGGGAATACAAGGCTACCTTTGGGACTTTATTTCTTTGATGTTGATCTTATTAAAAATATACATGTACACATGTGCACACACACACACAGTTTTGTTTGTTTGTTTTGGTTTTTTGAGACAGGATCTCACTATGTAGTTGAGACTGACCTGGAACTCACTATATAGCTCCGGCTGGTCTCGAACTCACAGTGATCCTCCTGCCTCAGCCTCTCGAGTGCTAGGATTACAGGCTTGCACCACCACGCCTGGCTGGGGATTTAGCTCAGTGGTTCCGGCATCTGCCTCGCAAGCTCAAAGACCCAAGTTCGCTCTCCGGTACCACAAAAACCAACACACACAATTTTTATGTGGCTCTTCCAGGAAGCAGTTTTAAATTTCATTTATTTAAACACTTCTGTGATTTTTTCTTGTGTAATTTGCCCATTTTCTCCCCGCAGGAAATTTAATCACATCTGTGAGCAGACAAGGTTCAAGAACTGAACATCAGGGCAACACAGCGCAGAGCCTTAGAGGCAGGGATACTGCGTGTTGAAAACATTGAGTACAGACACTCTAAGGGCATTTTACTGTCCCCAGCAGTGCCAGCTTGGCTCTGGTCAGGTGCTATGGAGAGACTTCTCCTGCTGTGGAGTTTTAGCCCTGAGTGAGATGCCCAAGTGGCCTGCAGGCTGAGTTGGCAGCACCAACCTCCTGCTGAGCATGGGAGGTGGAGCCCACACACAGACCTCCAGCCCGACTGACAGTTGTGCCCACTCTGCGAGTGGTGACAGTGCAGGTTTGCTCTTTTTGTCCCTTTTCCATCATTGTGGTTAAAATGGAAATCTCTTTTCAGGAAAAACTTCATGGGAGAAGGGGAAAGTGTGTCAGAAGTGCTCTGTTAGGGAAAAGGAGTATAAGTTTACAGCATACAGGATGTACAGAATACTTTGCTGTCGGGACAACCACAGCCCTTTATATATTTTTGTTTTAATAGGTTTGGTGCTTATTTTCTAATAAGATTTAAAGATTGCAATCTGTAGCACAAATAATATAATTTATAATTTACAAATTGACTAAATTGGGGCTAATATGAAAGAAGGTTTGTGTTTATTAAAAAAAAAAAAAAGATCCAATGTCCCAGACTGCTAACCCAAACTTGGATGTCAAGTTAGCGGCTCCTTGCTGATGTGGGTGAATTATGTCACTGCTGTTCCCACACTAGGCTGGACACAGGCTGTCATAGAGCAGGGTGAGGCTGGCCCCAGCCCCTACCCAGGCCTGCAATGTGGGAGTGGGTGCAGGGCCTTCACTGCCTGAGCCCTCCCCTCATGCATTACATTTGCCATGTCATCTGGAAGAATACTTGAAATTTTGTTTCTTTGTTGTTGTTTTTTTTTTAATTTTTATTTTTTGTTGAAATCATCTGTTATTTTTGTTTGCAAGCTATAACCTTTTTGCTTCTTCTCAGGAATACAGTTTTCAATTGTTGTCTTGCTCTTGATACACACTGAGAGGCAGCACTCTGTGGGAGAAAAGTCCCTCTTTCGGTTCTAATAAACAAGCGGTTTTGTTTCTATCCTCTCTGTTCATGTGTGGGCTGACATGCTCTCTTCCTCTTCTGTATTGCTGCTCCTCCTCATGCTATCTCCGTTGACACCTCACTGTCTGACCACATATGGGTGCCATACGTGGCTGAAAGTCTGGGCATCAGTGACAGTGGCAAGTGCTTTCACTCCAGTAACCCTGGGAAGCCACAGCTGGTTTGTTCAGGGTGAGTATCCATCTTCAGCCAGAAGGACAGAGCTACCTTGTGTCCATGCCTTCAAGAGACTGCTGGGCACTTACTCCCTCTCCTTGTCCTCTTCAGGGCCAGACCCATATAGGATATAGCACCTTTTTATGCCTGTGGTGGGAGAGGAACTATACCTTTCCGCAGGCCCCACTGACTGTCCAAGAGACGATCCTGCTGAGGCCATCATTCCCTAGGAGTAACCCAAGCTGCAGATGGGTGGGACTCATGAAGGGTTTTTATGATATTCTGGACCTCAAGAACCTCTCACCCCACCTACAAAACCCACCATCTGCAGCTGTCTTGTGACCCCATCATCCCCTCAGGGTGCCCTAGCTCTCAGGGCAGCCTTCCAGCAGTCCTGGGCCATGTGTTTCCATGTAGCTTTGAGCCCAGCCCTTTGAGAGTGAGAGCTCAGCCTGTGGCTGCTCGCACACTCTCCCTTGCTCTCCCTGGTGTGGTAAAAGCACCTCATCCTCCAGGTGCCCTGTCCATGCTGGTCATCCCTGCTCACCTTCCATCCTGCCCACTGGGAAGAAGGTTCAGGTTCTAGGGCAGTCAGGTAACCCCAAGGAGCACTCACTGGGCCCAGGATGATTGACTTAAAACAAGGACAAGGGAATGAAGCAGCCCTCCCACCGCAGCCATATGAAAGGCTGGGGGAAATGGGTTTAAATCACCTTGGTTACCTGAATCCTGGCAGGTTGAAATGACTAGACCCAGTTCTGAAAGGGGCTGGAGTAGGCTTCTACCAGCTGGGGCAACTATGGTAACAGTCCAGCCCTTGCTGGTTTGTCTACCCAGGAAAGTGCTAACCAAGGCTGGCACTTCATGTAGCCTTCATCCACGCTTTGTGAAGAGGCCCAGAAATTGACACTGGGCCACAACTTTACCAGGAGCTTGGCAGTGGGAACCTAAATTCTCTGGGGCAAGAAAGCAAAAGGAGGGACTTACTGGATTTGCAAAGCCCAGAGTAGGTCAAATGTCATGTGTGACTCACATGGTCCCTGGGACTGTCCTTCCTTTGCCTTGTTCACTGAAGCTCTGGTTTTAGCATGCATGGTAGTTATTTTCAGCCATACCTGCAATTCCAGCATTTGTGAGGCTGAGTCAAGATCTCAACTTCAACCTCAGCCTAAGCAACTCAGGCCCTGACTCAAAAAAGAGCAAGGGATGAAGCTCTATACAAAGACCCTGGGTTCAATACCCAACACCAAAAGAAAAAAAGTTCTCTCACTGTCCTGCCAGGTCTCACCTCCCTGAGAACAAAGGTCCATGTGGAGGGCAGACACCTGTCCCACAGACCCCCTAGGTGGAGGTAGCTGCAGGTGTGGCCCAGGTGATCTCTGTAGGGCTGCCTTCTAAGTGCCAGTACCATTAAAACATAGCCCTTTAAAAAAAAAAAAAAAAAACAAAGGTATATTAAATATATTTAAAAATATATGTTAAGGGCTGGGGATTTAGCTCAGCGGTTCAGTGGCCTGTCTTGCAAGTTCAAGGACCTGAGTTCAAAAAAAAAATATATGTGTGTGTGTGTGTGTGTGTGTGTGTTAAAAACAGAAGTAATTCCTTTAATCCCATCTACTTGAGAGGCTGAGCAGGAGAATCACAAGTTTGAGGCCAGCCTCTTGCAACTTACTAAGACCCTGACTCAAAATAAAAAGGGCTGGGTAGGGCTGGGGATTTAGCTCAGTGATGCTGCCATCTGCCTCGCAAGTGCAAGGTCCTGAGTTCAATCTCCAGTACCAAACAACAACAAAGGGCTGGGGGAGTAGCTCAGTGGTTGAGCATGTGTTTAGCATGCTCCAGCCCTGGGTTCAATCCCCAGTACCACACACACAAAAAAATAATAAAAATACTGGGACTGGCGATGTCCTTGTTACTGATTACTGCTTCTGAGCCTCCTTAGGGCTGTCAACCATGTGCCTATATATGGGTGTTTTGTTTTCCTAACACCTCAGACTTTATTGGCAAAAGAGAACTCTATCCAGAGTGGACCCCATGCCCACATCCACATGTGGGCCTCTGCCATCTCAGGAAGTAGCCTTCAGCAAGGCTTGAGTCAGAACCCAGTAGGGGCCCCTGACCACTCCTTCCCTCAGAGCCACCCTGTGCCTATTTGACAAGCCCCCTTGCCTCTGTCAGCTGTGGTCTACTTCTGCAGAGGACCTTTGAGTGCGTGGCTCTCCTGAAACACCATTTTGTTACCTGAATGATTTGTTTTCAAGTTTTGCTTAGAAGTTGGCTCTGGTTGTCTCCCAACCATCCTCAAAATCCCATCTCTAAAATCATAGTGCCCCTTCCCACCCATCTCTCTGCCACCTCTGCCTCAGCAGTTCACTTCCTCATGCATTTACTGACTGGTTCCCCACTAGGAGTAAGTTCCTTGAGAGCAGAGATTTTTAATTTTTTTTCAGTCTGTTTGCATTACATAATGATTACATTTATCCTGGGGAGTTGATACACATCTTAATTCTTTTTACACCCCTTCCCATCTCTGCTCTCTTTCCAAGGTCTATGATATCTCCCTGCTTTCTCTCATCTATCTTTTATTTGGAGAGCTAGGATTTTGTACATCATCTGGCAACCAGTAGGCTACAGAAAGTATGATACTAAATGAGTTGGAGAACTTTAAAACACTACCTTTACCAATCATCATCACTCTGTGATGGTCTCTTCAACACTTGCCCCTACAGCTGGAATGGAGCAGGATATCTGGATTGTTTCCACTTTGGGACTATTAGGAATAATGTTGCTAGGAACAATAATGTGTATTATTGTCAGCATTGGGTGCTGCCACAATTTCTTTCTTTTTTTTTTTTTTTTTTTTTTTTTTTTTTTTTTTTTTTCCTGTGCTGGGGATTGAACCCAGGGCCTCTCCCATGCTAGGCAAGGGCTAACCCTGAGCTACATCTCAGCCCCCCAGGTAGTTTTAATGTGCTTTTTTATCATAGCTAGTGATCTTGAAGCTTTTTTTTTTTTTTTTTTTTTTTGTACCAGGATTTAACTTGGGACCCTGTAGCTTCGAGGCAGGGCAGCGGCACCACTGAGCTAAATTCCTGACCCCCTTGAAGCTCTTTTTACAAGCTTATTTGCCATCCATTCTGGCTGTTTTCCAATTGTGGTGTTGTTTTTGTTTTGTTTTGTTTTTGAGACAGGGTCTCACTATATAGGTGAGACTGATCTGTAACTCACTATGTAGCCCAGGCTGGTCTCAAACTCATAGTGATCATTCCTGTCTCAGCCTCCCAAGTGCTGGGATTACAGGTGTGCACCACAATGCCTGCCTCATCCAACTGTGTTTTTTGACTGTTGACTTTTGACAGTTTACATGTTCTAGGTAATATTTGTTTATTAAATATGTTCTTTGAAAATATTTTCTCACAGTCCATGGCTTGTCTTTTCATCCCCTTAATATGTGGTCTTGCTCAGAACAAGTGTTTAATTTTGTTTTTGTTTGTCTGTTTTGAAACAGGATCTTGCTATGTAGTCCAGGTTGGTTTTGAACTCACTATGGAGCCCAGGTTGGCCACAAACTCATGGCAGTCCTCCTGCCTCAGCCTTCCAAGTGCTGGGATGACAGATGTGTGTCACCACACCTAGATAAGAGAGTTTAATTTGGATGGCATCCAGTTTGTTCTTTCTTCCATGGGTTATGATCTCCATGTCATGTTTAAAAACTCTTCTCAAGCTCCGAGACCCTACAATTTTCTTTTTGCTTCCTTCAAGTTGTATACTGTCATACAGTTTGCACTTGAGTCTTGGATCATTCTGAGTCAAATTTTGTATGTGTTCGTTACATAATAGTCTAAGCAAAAAATTCCAAGGAATTAAAGAAGAAACCCAAAGTGAACAAAACAAATTTAGAAGGAATGAGTGGACTCAGTAGGGGCTCCAGGGTACAAGATCCATGTCTGTTTGAATAGTGAACATGTGGCAACTATAAAGTCAAGAGCACAAGCCATTTACAGTCACTCCAAAGAAAGTGAAATGTTCCAAACAAGTGCTGACTGTATTCCTAAAAAGTACAGCATGCTGGAAGGAATCGGAGCAGACCTAAACATGGGGGCTGGGTGGTCACTCCCAGCATGGGTCCACCAGAGGTCCAGTGCGGTTCCAGGAAGGATTCAGAAATGTGGACCTTGCACTTGGGCTTGGGGTTGGTATATACAACCCTACAGCACACCTGCTCCATGCTCTGCAGTCCCCTTCTGTGTCATCTACCAGGCTATTTGGGGTTGAATCATCCAGGCAAGCCTTAGGTTTCAAACTTCATATTCTCCCGCCAAGTCTATTAAATGCTAAGAATTACAGGCCTGTGCTAATGAGCTGGGCTTTTCTGTTTTGTTTTGGTACTGGTGATATGGAATCCAGGGGCACTGAGCTACACACTGAGCTCATTATTATCACCATCATTTTAAGACAGGGTTTTGCTAAATTGCTCAAGCGTGACATGAATTTCATTCTATTGCCAGTTTGGGATTTTGTTTGTTTTGTTTTTTGAAACGGTCTCGCTATTTAGGTCTTTAGGATTCAGGCTGGCCTTGAACTCACTAGCCCAAACTGGCTTCAACCTCCCCAGCGTGTGTCACCATGCTCGGCTCAGTTTGGGATTTTTTGAGACGGGTGTCACTGTGTCGCTCAGCTTGGATTTGAACTCCGGGGCTCAAGCAATCCTCCTACTTTAGCCTTGGACTGGAGGTACCGCACCTGACTCCAGGCTGATGCTGGCCAGACTGAGTCAACGTTCAGAATCCACCAAGATGCAAGCGAGGACCGCAAGGTGCGCCGGACAGGGCGGGGGGGGGGCGGTGTTGACGCACGTGAACCACGCCCGCCGCGAGAGGACGATCGGGTCGGGCCACTCCCACAACTTTACAGCTGGGCCAGAAGCCTTGGCCACGCCACTTCCGCCGGAAGCTTAGTTGTCGGTTTTCTGTTAGAGCTAGTCCAGTCAGTGTGGAAATTGTTTCTACGAAGGAAAGTGCCACAAAGTCTTATAGTCACTTTCTGAAGTCCGCTTTGGGCCTGTCTTGGGTGAGGTCGATACCGGCCCCGGTCCGAAGGCGGTTTCTGGCAAGCAGACGAAGACAATTTCTGTTCCGGAACAGAGGCCACGCGCCCAGGTTGTTTCCGGGGAACTCGAGACCGTTGCACCACCTCGCCCCGCCCCTGGCGCGGCCACGTCTCGCTGGAGCTACTGGGGCAGCCACCGGGTGAGGTTCACGGAGCGAGGGCTGAAGGACTACGCCCGGGAGGGTCGGGGGCTACGTCAAGGGAGGGTCGTGGATAGAGGGTCCGGGGAGGGTCAGTGGGCGCAGGAGTTGGAGGCCGGGGGTGCCAGGGTGGCCCAGTCGGATGAGATCGACGCTGGCCTCTCACCGCGCCTCCTCTGGCTTCCGGCCTCAGCCGGCCTCTCGGACAGTCTCAGGACCGACTCTGTAAACGCGGAGACTCTGCGCCCGTGGGGTGCAGTCTGCCCGAAGTGCAGCCGCTGGACTAGTGAGTCCTTCTGCAGCAGATGGCAAACGTGACATAGTAGCGGCCGCTTCCTTGTTTGCTTAGTCCATGGCGGACTTAGCATCTCGACAGAGGTGCCCCCCGAGGTGCTTCATTGTTCAGTGCTACGGAGGGAATGGGGCCGGACACTGTTGTGGCGTGGACGGGGTGAACGGCTCACCTTCTTTACACAGTGCCTGTTGAGTGCCAATGGGGTGACAGCCCTGTCCACTGCAGGTTTTGTGATACAGTGGCGAGATGTCGTCCCTGCCCTCACCTAGTGCACCTTATAGTGGAGAGACAGACAGCTAATAAGGCCATTACTAAGGGAATTCGACGGCAGGGTAAGCTACTTAGGTAACGGAGTCCTGTGGCAAAGGTGACTTTTAAGCCAAGATGTACTACATCTTCATGGCAAGAAGCATGGAGATCTGTAGAGCAAGTTCGTTGTTTTTAGGAACAGAATATAGCCAAGGTATAATGGAAAAGGACGAAAGCAGTTGGGGTGAGGGTACAGGTGGGAATGTGGCTTCACAGTTCGTAATGAGAAGTTTGTATTTTATTGTCAGTGGGACGTAGCCATTTATTTACAGATTTTTCAAGGCCTTTGCCTTTATAGCCCTTTAATACGTTTCAGTATACCATGAATGACAAAAGGAAATGAAAATCATCTGATATTACTCAGATTGAAAAGCATCTGGGTTTTTTTTGCCAGTTGCTTTAAGAAATAGTGTATTTTCTCACCAGCTGTCGTTCATCCCTATAATCCTGGCTACTCAGCTGACACAGGTGGATCAGCCTAGATAGACTGAGAGCAGTATAGCAGACTTAGTGAGATCCTGTCTCAAAAGAAAATTCAATTTCGAAGCACTGGATGTAGCCAAATAATATAGTGGTTGCATAACATACACAAGTCCTTAGGTCCAGTCCCAGTACTAAAAAAAAAAAAAAAAAAAAAAAAAAGTAGTGTACTTTCTTAAGTGAGGCTATATTCAATTTTGATAAGAAGCAATTGAAAGGAAAATAATAGTACTAATAATTGAATCCGTTTATTGAAGGCATAGAACAGACACCATACATTTTTTCCTTTTTCTCCCCCCTGCACTGAGGATTGAACCAATGGCCTTTGCCCTGAGAACCCCCCTTTTTTTTTTGGTAACAGGGATCAAACTCTGGCCCTTGCACTTGCGAGGCAGGCGTCAGAACAACTGAGCCAAATCCCTGGTCCCCTTTTTTAATTTTTTAAGGTAAGGTCTTTCTTAGTTACTAAATTGCCCCAGACTGGACTCAAAATTACCTGCCTCAGCTTCAGCTGCACCCTTCCAGAGTGCTGGCATTACAGATGTATGCTGCTATGCCCAGCGAGACCCCATACTTTATTACATTCAGTCCTGGCAATGATTTGTATTCACTTTTTTCATAGTTTTATTGATGAAGAAACAGATTAATAGTGGTTCAGATATTTGCCCAAGATCTCACAGACTAGTGGTGGAGGAGTCAGGATTTGAAGCAGACTTGTCCACTTCTGAACCTATTCTTTATATCTCAGCTGTTCAGTGACCTGAGGTTGGCGTTTGATTTTCACATGTATATGGTCTTGTTTGCTATTGGTTACTAGTGTGGCCTCAAACAGACATAATCATCTTCAGGAAATCATGTTTTGTCTTGGACTATGCGTTATTTTTAAGTACCAATAGGAACAACTTAAAAAAGCAGCTGTTGTATATGTACATCTAATGCAAGGGCTCTGCTGTGGTACAAGCTGGAAGCCCTGTAGATGCCTGAGACAGTGGTTTCTCAGTAAGTCTCTTCATATCAGGCAGGGGTGAACCTAGAGTTGTGTACCTTGTGAAGTGCTTGGTGATAGCTTTGCCCTGTGTCTGGTGTTTAAGGGACGTGGGAATGCAAGTGGTCAAAAATGATACTATAATGAAAAATCTTTTTTAGAAAAAAGGTGGAGAGTGTGTATTACTAATAAGAGCTTCCTTATGACACACCCCCTTCTCTTGTTGCCCAGAGATTTGCCTTTGTCAGCAGTCTGAGGTAATGAGGCCTTGAATAACTGAGTCATGCCAACTAAAATTTAGGGAATCTGAGGATAGAGAATATCAGTTTATTGCCCTTCAGGGAGGAGGACCATTGCCACAGGCCCCTCCTGCATAGTCAGGGAGTTGTCTATTCTGCTTCCGGAGGATCTATATGTTACCAGGAGCTGTCTTCATGAATTACCAGAGTAGATCACAGTCTTAGGGTCCTGCATTCTGGAGGGCAGCACCACCCTGTCTCTAGAAAGAGAGAGCATTGCTTAGGAACCAGGAAGTGTCTTATTCAGCAAGAAATCAGAATAAGGGGAATTGAGAGTGGAATATGGACTAGCGTCAGGCTTCCATAGCCTGATGCATTTGTTGCCATATTTGTCATCATCAGTGGAACGTGAACATTCTTGGCTAGTGTTCTTTCCTGGACAGTGTTAGGTGAGGGCATTATCACTTTGCCTCTTAGGCACATTCTCTGGGACTCCTGGCTTCCCTCTTCTGCATATTTGTCTCTATACCTATGGTGCTCTAGTGTCCTGCTCCTCATCACTAGGTGACATTGCTTCTCTAGGCCATGGCCCTTGTACTTTGCTCTTCAAGTTTATAACTCCCAGAGCCATTCTTTGTCCTTCATTTGAACTACAGCCCCCAGGTTTCCCCACTACCACTACCTGTACTGAGGATTGAACCCAGGACCTTCTCACTGAGTTATATCCCCAGCTCTTTATTAAAAATTTGAGACAGGGTCTTGATAAGATGCCCAAACTGGGCTTGAACTTGCAACCTTCCTATCTCAGCCACTCAGAGTGTTGAGAAATCACAGATGAATGCCAGCATGTCTAGGCCCCCAGATAATAAGAGTTTTTCTTCACACTTGATTTTTCTTTTCTTTTCTTTTCTTTTCTTTTCTTTTCTTTTCTTTTCTTTTCTTTTCTTTTCTTTTCTTTTTTTTTTCTGGAAATCCAGTTCAGGACTTTGTGCTTGCCAGGCAGGTGTGGTGCCACTGAGGTACATCCCAATCCTTTCTCTGAGCTTGAAAAGGCATTGTTGATGCTCAAGATTCTGATACTTAAGCATTTTGTTTTGGAACTATCAGCTTAACTGTGAAGGGGTAGAACTTGACAGAGGCAAGGATTAATTTATTAACCTGTGTTCAGTGCCACCATTAGTGGGGAGAGTTTTGAGGTGATTGAGAGGAAGAGTTGGAATGATGGGTTCAGCCTTCAAGGCCTGTACTGTGACATGCTGTGATTGAGGCACATACACAGTATCAATGTAATGACAGCAGAGAATAGATCTAGCATTTTGCCTGACTGGTCAGGAGAGACTGCAGAGGCATGATGTGGATGTAGAAAGACGATAGGAACTTTCATTCTCATCCATAGGGCTGGCTTTCTGTCACCTCAGCTTTTGTCTGACAAATGATGGGGATATGGTCAGATTTAGATAGACATCATCATCCTCCCCCCCCCCCCGTAGAAGTAAAGACATTTCAAAGCAAACTGTGAAGGTTTTCTCTTGCTAAGAAATTTTTCAGGATGATCATAATATGGTGTACCAATATTTAGCAACTCAGATTTATTCTGCACATTTGTTTCTAATTTATCTCTCCTTGGAGTGGTGAGCCTGTGATGAAGGGACCACCTTAGGCCCCATTTTTCTGGTTTGCCTCACCTTGTTTTGTGAGCAGTATTCACAGCCCCACATCCTGGTGTGGCTGGCTTACCACTAGCTATTCCTTGGAACTGGGGAACAGGTTTGGTGGTTGTGACAGTGGCTTTCCTTAGAGGTGGGATCTTGTGAAGTGATGATTTTCAGAGGGGTCTGTGGGATGTGTAAGGAAAAACGTGTAGCTCAGACACCTTAGCTCCAAGGGCCTGTTGATCTGTCCACACAGTTGGAAAAATCTCTCCAGGGATAAAAGATGTCTCTGATGATTGTAGAGACAAGATGAGATTGAAAATTCTTTGCACACAGGATTACTTTTTGTCCAATCTTAGTAGCTTCTCTCATGACTCGTTGTTTTAGTCTTCAAATATTTACATGTGCTAGACATCATGAGTCAGGCAGACTCACTCCCAAATCCTGTTGTTTATGATGCTTTGTTTTATTAGCCACAATGGATTTGCACTTTGTAATGTTTTCATACATTCTAATGTTTTTATACCATTCTTATCACTTTCTACTTTTGAGCCCTTAATGCTAATTTCACACTAATGGCATATATAACAGTGTTGGAGAACCTATGGCACATGTGCCATAGCAGCTGTTTGTTATCACTAAATGCTCTGAAAGGTCCGCCATCACTGATATGTAACCTTTTTTATGTTCTTAGCGGTGCTGTTATTAACTCAGTGTCTCTGGCCTGCAGAGTGCAGAGCAGCAGAGAGGAATACCTAGATTATTAGAATTTGTGAGCAAATACTCATAGGTCTGTACAGAGGGTCATTTCTATGCTGAATATGGACTGCTTCTCTAGGCTGGGCTGTGTTCATCACAGTGTGTGGGCCAGCCACAGGAGCATGCTGTTTGTCGGCCCAACTACTGAGTCAACATCACAGCCCCTACTGAGAAGTGCCCACTTGGGATTCTTGTCTGTAATTTTTATATGGGAGTCCTAAACTAGGAAAGAAGTTTACATAACTTTTTGACATGAAACATACCAAACAGAATAGAACATAGGGTAACATGAAATTTGTCCTAAAGTTAGTAATGCCAACATTTCTGCAGAATGCCTAGAAGTTCACAGAATACCTTTTCTGTTGATTAGGAAGTGAGTTGGTATCGTCCGTACACCTTGGAGCTGGTGACCAGTTGCCAAATTTAAGATGAAATTTTACTTCCTTAAATTTAGCTCAAGAGCTGGGTATTTAGCTCAGTGGCATGACACCTGCCTTGAAAGCACAAGGTCCTGAGTTTGATCCCTGGTACAAAAAAAAAAAAGCTCAATGGGATGAGTCAAAAAATTTGTTTATTGAGACAGGGTCTTGCTATTAGTTCAGTCTAGCCTTGGAATTACTGTGTAACCTATGCTAGTCTCGAATCCATGAGGATTCTCCTGCTTCAGCCTTCCTGGTGCTAGAATTACAGGTATGTACCCCCTTGTTCAGCTGATTTTTATTTTGAAACAGGATCTTGCTAAATCATTAACATTCCCAAGGTGGACTCAAATTTAGAATCCTCTTGCCTCAGCCTTCCGGAATGCTGGGAGTATAGGCATGTGCTACCATGTCTGGTAAAACTTTCTTTAGCTAGCACCAGTGCAGATGTTGTGTGCCTTCATGAAAGGCCCGGTGTAACTGGTTCAGCATTTTATCCTCAAAACATAAACATTACAAGTGCTCAGGACTTTTTTTTTGTTTTGTTTTGTTTTGTTTTTGTTGTTTTTTTTGAGACAGGGTCTCACTGTGTAATTGAGACTGACCTGGAACTCACTATGTAGCCCAGGCTGGTCTCAAACTCACAGCGATCCTCCTGACTCAGCCTTCCAAGTGCTGGGATTACAGGTATATGCCATCATGCCCAGCCCAGGACTTGTTTTTTGAATGAATAAATCTCTGTTAGACTCCAGATGAAAATTGGGAAGTAAATGTTAATTTTATAATTGTAACTTGAAATCTAACAAGTGACATTTTAAAGTAGTTTTTCTTTTTGCCTCCTATCAGGTATCATGATATTGGTGGGTTTCACTGCAAGCCGTGTGTGAGACTATTAAGTTTTGCCCTGAAAATGGAACACAGCATGAGGTCCTTCCCAAGAGCTCTGGGCTGTTGCTGATGGCAGAAACTGCACTTGTCTTGGGGTCACTTGTAGCCCTTCAGTGTCTTCTTAGCCTGGGCCCTCCTGACCATGGACAGTATGTCAGCTGAATACGATGGCCTCCCAGAAGACAGACCCAACAGTGACACCTCAGCTTGTCCCGAGGCCCTCCTGACTCCCCTAGGCTCACCAGCACTGCCTGACCAGCTGAACGAAGTACAATGTAAGTAGCCAGTTTACTCTGTGTTGCTGGCATTTGCCTCAGAGCAGAAAGATGTGATCAGCAGGTGATTTGGAGAGGAAGTAAGCTTTTCATTCATTCACAGTATGTAGATTCTGGGCTCTGTGTTCACCTTTGCAGTCACACTGATCCAATTGTCCACCTCTTAGGAGTCTGGATTTGGAGGATAAACATGCTTCAAATTGACTTTGGAACCATTCCCTAAAGATGGGAGCCGTGCCTCTGATTAGCTCTGCCTTTACCAGTACCTGTTAGAAAGATTGTCAGTTTTGTTTTTCAGCTTTTTTTTTTCCTTGTGGTTTTTTTTTTTTTTTTTTTGTTTTTTTTT